TATTACAAACATATTAATAGCATATTAAAAATTTATTAATAAACAAAAATTTTTTAAAAAAATATTTTTTTTGGCCTGGACTGGATGGGACCGGTTATGGGATCGGAACCGGAACCGGATTCCTTAACCGGTTACAAGGTATTTCACCAGAACTGGGACCGGTTATGGCAGGACCGGTTACCACCGGTTTGTGTCTTGATTAGGACCGGTAGGGACCGGTTAAGGACCGGCCCGGGACCGGATTTTGACCATCTCTAAATGAAATAGACACGGAACAATTTTATTTAATTACAAAAATGATCCCCTAACTTTTTGGTTTTTAATAATTCAACCCCAATCTTTTCCTTTTTAGATTTTTGTTGGAGATTGTATGTGTATGTGTATGTAGAGGTGCTCAAAAACCCGATCAATCCAACGTAAAATAACCCAATCCGAAGTAACTCGATGTCTAATTGAGTTGTAAAATTGTCAAACCGTATGTATTGGATTGATATTGGGTTACTATTATTTGAGCCAAACTCAACCCGATGAACCCGATATCCTTTTATTTCTTGGATTTAATATGATTGTTGAATTTCTATTAATATATATATTAGACAATTATACTATCATGTATGCTTTTCATATACACGTATTTTCAATCTATTCATATCTCTATATAACTCATTCATATATATGTTCAGTAACTGTGAACATATATATATATATATATATATATAAATTGAGAAAATTAACTGAATGTGATATACGTAAGAAATATGAATAAATTGTATCAAATGGTTGATGATGAAAAAAAATTATGAATAGAGAAATAACATATTAAAGGTTAGAAGAATATTTAAATATACCAAAGTATCAACCCGACCAACCTGACTAACCCTACCAACCCGGACAGGTTGGGTTGGGTTGGATTAAGATTTTTCCAAACCGCAAACATTGGGTTGAGTTGTTCAAATGTCTTCAACCCTATCAACCCAACCCATTAGCACCCCTATGTGTATGTGTATATGTATGTGTATGTGTATGGGGTGTTTTTTCATTAGAGTGTGCATGGATTAATCTAGATTAAGGTACATTTATTGTTGATCATTGTTTGTTGTTTGGAATAAATAGTTTACATACCATAAATGACTATTAAACCCCTCGTTCTAAACTAAAAAAGAAAATCACCATCAAATTCATCTCAGTCTGATCGAATCTTATCAGATTTAACAAATACTTCAGTTGAATTAATGATGATATATAAAAATATCAATAAAAAACAGTTATTCTATAATAATTAAAAAATAAGTCCAGATTTTTCACAACATCTTAACAGAAACAACAATTAACAATCCCCTGAAAATGTGCTAATCAAGACGGTCTTCCAAATTTATATATAACTGAATAATTACCAAAATTATCTCTATGTAAATTGAAAAGACAATAATAACCTTATGAATTAGAAATAAATAAAAATAAATGAAGTTATGTGATTGGTTGTTATAAGTTTGTATAAATTGAGGCGATTTGCAATTGATCACTCTTTTATATATCGAGCGATCAAATGTAAACCACCCGTATTTGTATAAACCGTACAGACTATGCTCATCCCTCGATTTTATTGCTTAATTTAGTGAAATTGTTTTATATAACCTTTTTTTTGATAAAATTGCTTAATATACGGTTGTTTCTATGTTTTAATAAAATTGTTTTATGTATTTCTCTAAAATTAATATAAATAAAGTGATAATGTTCATAATTAACGCTTTCTACAATAAAAATAACTAACTAACTAACATCTCATAATTACAAAAAAGAGGGAAAAAAGAAAAAGAAAAATTATGATTAATTGAATGAGCTTTGTACGGTTTGTACAAATGACTTAATTTACTAAGTAAACCACACACACACACACACATATATATCTATACTATATTATAAAGCATTTGGCTAAAACTCTTAAAAACTCTTAAACTCTTAAACCCGTTCATCCCTAAACAATTTCATCCCTATCCGATTTCATCTCATAACTGAATTCGTATAACTAATTGCAGATAAACACAATCAAATACATGATAAACATCTCATTTTAAATATAAAAAAT